GCTCACAGCCTATATTATTATGCCCAAAACCTCGCGATAATAGCGGTGTAACAAAAACTTGTTCTTTGTGACAAGATAAACATGTCTCTTGTACAAGAAGACGCACCTTTACAATATTGTCCACAGAAATGTACAAGCAAGAACATTTTAACTGCTGGAACAATATATTAAACTTCTTTAAACATAAGCCATCTCTGTGACACTTACAACATATCCTGGTCAAAAATTAAGATTCCTCACAGTGTTACTGGAGGGCAAAGTAACACTATCCAAAGTAAACATCTGGTTAAATAACATATTTCTAAGATTATATTAGAAGTGGTTAATGAAAAGGATGGCTAAATTGATGTTTTGTACTAGTAAAAGAACATTTTGTTACAAATGTTTTTGCTTTGTTTTGCTCTTAGCTATAAAATGGCAAATGGCCTGCATTTGTATAGCGCTTTTCTAGTCCTTAAGGACCCCAAAGCGCTTTACACTACATTCAGTCATTCACACACACATTCACACACTGGGGAGGGCAAGCTACATTGTAGCCACAGCTGCCCTGGGGCGCACTGACAGAGGCGAGGCTGCCGGACACAGGCGCCACCGGGCCCTCTGACCACCACCAGTACCAAACATGGGGTTAGTATCTTGCCCAAGGATATTTGGCATGCAGCCAGGAGGCAGCCTGGGATCGAACCACCGACCTTCTGATTAGTGGCTGACCTGCTCTGCCATCTGAGCTACAGCCACCCAAAGAGCTTTTATAACCCATTTCCAGTACCAGAGATATGATTTTGTTTGGGGTATCCTTTAATTTGATTGCATTGCATTGTATTGATCGCATTGTATACTAAAGTAGATTTTAATACCTTGCAAAACACCAGATCTGTCAATACAACATTCACTATGTATATTTTGAAGTGCAGAGGAGAAATAAATATCCACGTATTTTATCCCCTACTAGCCCCAATCTCTCTTTTTTATATGCAACATTGTTTGTTGTATTCCTAAACATGTAGAAGAAAGAAATCCAGATTATCCGAAGTCATGGATCAACCAAAAGAACTGGCTTCTAACAGCAAGAGGCTAAAGATAAGAAATAAGAGAGATAACTCTTTATTGTCATTGCACAGTCACACCTAGTACAATAGTGCAACGAAATTGGGAAACTGTCCTATGTTGGCACTACATACAACACAACACAACACAGTAACTTAATAAATAAAATAAAATAAAATGAATGAGTGTATGAATAGAAAGAATGAGAGTATGCTTCTAAAAACAAACATCAGTGAACGTTTAGCATTCTGCTGATACATTGAAAACCATCTGATGAAGTGCCCTGACCCCATCTAAAAGCAACTCAAAAACTGTGCTGAAACACGCTATATCTGAACACAAGTGGAAGAGCGGAGACAGGCTCACTGCTGTGAAAAGCTGACCCAACAAAGTCAGGGAAGAGGAGGGAGGCTTTTTCTTCCTGTAAATTTACATGTTCCATGTTTGTAGTGATCAAAAGAATAAGACTACACATACAAGAAGCAGAAACTAATTTCTTCTGCTTGTATCTGGATTCAACCTTAGAAAGAGAATCAGGAGCTTGGTCATTTGGGAGGGGCTCAATCTTCAATGAAACATGCAGCTTCAGAATCTGTGAGGTGTTGGCTTTCAGCACCCAATGCTGTGTCCATGTACATGCCGTCAGGTAAATGGGGGATCCGTACTTTGTATGTACTTCTTTGTGTGGAATCTGTTTATCTGCCCTCATTTACTGTTTTAGCTGTTTGGCGACTAAAATCCGGAAATCGATTTTTTAAACCCAGCCCTACTAGAGACTGTGCTGGCCATTCTATGTTTTCAAGCTTACCATCTTGTTCTTTTTTCCTGAGGTTGTTCTGGCATAGCTTGGACTTATGTTTTGGGTCATTATCTTGGTGTAATATGAACCCCTGACCAACTAGGTGCACACCAGAGGACACTGTATGGTGTTGCAGAATGCTGTGGTAGCTGTTTTGGTTCAGGGTGCCTCTCACTCTGTACAAGTCACCAACCCTGGATCCAATAAAACAGCCCCACACCATAACACTTCTTTCTCCATGTTTGACAATTGATGCCATACAGTGTGAAACCTTCCTTTCGCCTACTCGACGGTGTACAAAGATCCTGCATGATGAACCAAAGATTTTAAACTTTGATTCATCAGTCCATAATACCTTCTTCCAGTCTTCAGTAGTCCAGTAGCAGTGTTTCATGGCCCAGCCAAGCCTCTTTGTCTTATTCTGACATCTTACCAATGGCTTTCTTGCTGGAACTTGTCTTGTCAAACCTGCAGCTCGAAGTTCCAAGTCGAGCTTTAACATGCAACAAGAAGAAATAGGAGTGAGACAAAACATTTTGTCAAAACAGCCTGTTTCAGTTTAAGCGTTGTTTTCAATAAATTGCATGCTCAAAAAATGTTTTGTCTCACTCCCATTTCTTCTTGTTGCATGTTGAAGCTCTACGTGGAACCTTTTTAAGATCCAACCATGCAAAATATGATTTTTTGCCATTTTTCTAGTGGTCTTAAACTTTTGATCGGGACTGTATGATGGTCTGTCTTTCTTCCATTGTTAATTACCTTTTTTATGCCATTTTTGCATCAACACAATACTTTCTGCAGTGTCATACTGCTTAACTGATGGTTACGAGGGTATGGTACCTATGTTTTTTCCAACACTGTTTTTATGCAGACAGTGGGGGTTGTAAGTAATCTGGAAAAGTCGCTTTGTCTATCACTGCGGCCGTCTTCCTCTTTGGCCATTACAAGCTTTGCCATGATCCTATCTTTCAGGTCAGTTCCTCTCACACTCAACGATCATTCTTGGGGCTTGGTACCCAATCTTGGGTGGGGACGATGGTGACGACTCCCCCCTGACCTGTAGTTCTGGCTCACCATAGCATATGTGCTGTACCTCGTCAATCTCTAGTGAGAGCAGTTCTTTTTTCTGAATGTTGGAACACTGAGCTACTACTTCAATCTGGATGCTGGGTATCGAAGATTCCATTGGTCCCTTATCCTAGTCATGTAACCCCTTCCACTGGGGTTACTTGCGTAGTAGCACCCTATATTCATCTCTTGCCCATGTATGCCTTCTTGTTCTAGTAGCCCACTTCTCAGCCCGTTTTGAGGTTAGCCAGGTGGATAATTCTAATGACTGCCTGACAACTGAGGTCGGTGACGTCATCAGAGAGGGACCGGCGATCAGCATTGCAGAGCACGACGTTCGAGCAGCGCTCAGGAGAGTGAGCACAAGGAAAGCGGCTGGGCCAGACGGCATCACCGGTCGTCTGCTGCTAACCAGCTAGCAGGTGTGTTCACTTCGATTTTCAACGAGTCCCTGGCTAAGTCTGTGATCCCCACATGCTTCAAGAGATCTACCATCATCCCTGTCCCCAAGAACAACAAGCCCTCATGCCTGAATGACTACCGGCCAGTTGCACTGACCTCGGTGGTTATGAAGGTGTTCGAGAGGCTGTTGAAGAAAACCACCTCCTCTTCCATCCCAGACACCACAGATCCCTTCCAGTTCGCCTACTGACCCAACAGATCCACGGAGGACGCCATCGCCCACGTCCTGCACACCACCCTCAGCCACGTGGACAAGAAACAGGGTAACTATGTGAAAATGCTGTTTGTTGATTACAGCTCAGCATTCAACACAATAGTGCCCGGTAGACTGTTCACAAAGCTGAGGGATCTAGGACTCAACAGCCGTCTGTGTGCATGGGTGTTGGATTTTCTCACTGGCAGAACTCAGGTGGTGAGGGTGGGTAGGTGCATCTCCAACAGCATCACCATCAGCACGGGAGCACCACAGGGGTGTGTCCTCTCGCCACTGCTCTACTCCCTCTACACTTCAGACTGTGTGGCCACCCACGGCTCCAACACCATTGTGAAGTTTGCTGACGACACAGTGGTGTTGGGTGCCATCTCCAACAACGATGAGGTGGCCTACATAGATGAAGTGAAGAATCTGGCATCGTGGTGCCGGGACAACCACTTCCAGCTGAACGTTGGCAAGACCAAGGAGCTGGTGGTGGACTTCAGAAGTAGTCAGCACAGAGACTACAAGCCCATTATCATTAATGGGGCTCGAGTGGAGAGTGTGCAGTCCTTCAAGTATCTCAGTATCCACATCTCCTCAGACCTGACATGGTCTGCCCACATTCAGGTCCAGCCAAAAAAGGCTAGGCAGCGCCTGCACCACCTACGACAACTGAGGAAGTTCAGAGTCTCTCCAGTGATCCTCAGGACTTTCTATACAGGCGCTGTGGAGAACATCCTCACACAGAACATCTCATCCTGGTATGGAAACAGCTGTGTCAAGGATACAAATTTTGAAGGACCTTTGAAGGTCCTTAAGTGACTGAGACAGGACTCATTACCACATTCTCAAATCATCGTGAATCCTTCTGCCCTCACTATAGCACAAGACACTTTAACACCCTCCTCATGCAATGTACACAAGCTGTAAATTTCCAGATTGTTTTATTTTGTTTTATTTCTATTTATATAATGTACATAACTCACCCACTTGCAGCACAGTACTCTTTATATATACTCATTCACTGTATATAAAGTTCTGTTTGTCTCTCTCTTTTTTTCTTTGCACAGTCAAGGAGCGTATCAGGTCACATTTCACTGCGTGTTATACCTGTATAACCATGCATGTGACAAATAAAGAATCTTGAATCTTGAACCAGTATGTCCTGGTTCCTCAACACCTGACGTGGACCTTGTTAATATGGGCAACGTCCAAGCGAGTATGGCTTCATTTTTCTGTCTCTCACTCATGTCCAAGGTAGGCTTGGTGAGCATGGAGGATCTGGCCTAGGGACCCTTACTGGATACAGATGCTAGCTGGGTGTTGAACCCACGACCCACCAAAAAGGCTTGTAGTCTTACCACTGCGCTATCTATTAGTATTTCGTTTGTTTGTTTTTTGTTCTTCTTGTTTTTACACCTAAGTAACATGGATAAAAGGAAGATAGGTACGGATTATACTGGACCAAACAGCTGTGAACCAGTCCATCTTTTACAGTAAAAAAGTTCCAGGGTCTTTTTGGCTTCAGGCTTGGAACATTGGTTTGTACTTATGTTTACAAGTCACCGAAATTGTGGCCTTCCAGTTGTGTTTTGAGTATTGCTCCAAGAGGCTTTTTTGGCATGTTAGTGGCAAATACCACATTTTACCTATATTAAATATATAGGGTAGGTGAAAGTAGCCCCACAGGCACTTTATTGAACTTTTGTTCAATTAAGCCATTTAGCCTCACTTACAGGCAAGATCTTTAAAATACAAAAGCTTGTGTGACTTTTCTTAATTGGTAAGGTCAGACGTGTTTTTTTGAGTCTTGAGGCCCTTTCAGACTTTCAGTGTTACCAGTATTCCCCATTTGTTATTAGAATAGCAAGTCTTTCAAATTTCCCATACATGGCCAACTGAAATCTTGTGATCGTATAGCATTATCTGCCATCGTAGAAGAGAGAGTACTCCAATAAACAGAAATATTTCATCTGGGGATTAAGGTGACATTTTAGAGCAGCTTTATATTGATTTCTAGTTATAAAGTGGGGACATCAATGGCAAAAATGTCCCCCACAACCTAACCTCTTAAGCCCCAAAGGGGTTTCTGAGCTTACTGCTCAAAAATGAAATGACCCAAATTAATTGATTATTTCTCTGCAATTACAAACTCTGTGCTTACAATTTTGGTATCAAAATAAAGCTGACACTTATGAAATTTCAGGAGTAAATATTGAAGCAGATATTACTGTGTCAAAGTTACTGAGACTGGAACACAGTAAGTAGATTTTAGCCCTTTTCTGCCTTGCACATGGAGCATTTAATTGGCCTGTGGCTCTTTAAACTCTGGGGGGCTGTAACTTTGGTTTCTTTTGGTCAATATGCATGATTGACACCTCTTTTTAATCATTTGAGCCAATAGGATTACAGTAACAATCAGTAATGCCTGATTGGTTGTCACTTCAACCAATCAGGCGTTGCAAGGTCAAAACCCATGTGGGCCCAAGTTTACTGCATGTGACGTCTGTCCAGTCATGTGTCTGTAGGTGGGTCTAAAATGCAGGTTGTTGACAGAAAGTGGTCGTGTCCAAATTCATGGGCTGCATCCTGCATTTGTAGACCAATTATGTCACAGCGACGCGCCGAAGGCTGTCCAAATTCGTAGACTCCTCCGAATGCAGCTGACAAATGCGTCCTCCTTGTCCCCGAATTTGAAGGATAGGTCGGGTGTGTCCTTCATGGCCCACCATATCCCAGAATTCATAGCGCGGCCCAGCCAAACTCCAGTTTCCGGCAATGCCGGCCGTTACTAAGTGTTAAAATTACTCCTATTAACCTTTCTGGGTCACAAAATAAACTTTTAACATATTTTCAGGCGAGAACGTGGGTGTGTAAACTTCAAATATCTGTTCGGTTTATCAAGATATCGCATATTTGCAAAAGTGCTTCGACGTTTTCGGAGACGTCTGTTACCCACCAGCTCGATAGCTAGCCGAGAGCTCGAGGGTCACTGAAGCCGCCGAAAACAGCACAACTCCAGGTCATTTTAAGATCACCGCAGACTTTCGCTACTCAGGTTAAACGTGATATATAAGTCACTTAGACAACCTAAAAATGTTATTGTTTGGCTTTTTTCAGTGTTTTATTTGTTCGTGAGTAAATCGGTTTGGCTGAGATTAAAGTTATTAGATTAGATAAAATAAAACTTTATTAATCCCCCGGGTGGGTTCCTCCTTAGTTTTCACACAGCTGAATAAACGTCGGCCGAGTTTATTAAACTCTGAGACAGCGGTGACGCTAATCAGAAGGCTAGACCGTCCAATTCCACAGCCGTTTACTTAGGGCCTACCCGACCTTCTGAGGACCCGCGAAGGCCGGGTCCTCAGGAGGATGCAGCCCATGAATTTGGACATGACTAATGGCTCTGATGCGGCTAGTTAGGCGTTGTAACTGCTGATAATCATGTGGCTACCGGCGAAAATAACAGAGAAAAGCGGTACGGTAAGCCAATTTCTGTCTTAGCACATTTGCGCAGGTTTGTGTTTTTGTGGTCTTCTTTTGCGGTTCATTCAGTGAACTTTGGTCAGAGCATGGTGAAACTTGGTGTTTGGAGTCAGTAATAGCTCTGCATGATAACTAGCCTTTCTTTAGCCGGTTACATAAAGTTTGAAGAATTTCTTGTTTGGTTTTGTTTGTTTAGCGGACTTGTGCGCATTTTACGTAACTGCTCGTTTAATCATGGCTTGGTTTCGTTGTGTTTGGTGGTTGTAGAAATGGTTTATATGAGATTTTGGCTGAGATTCAGAGGTCTCTGTGGATACCACACGTGGGACTTAAATTTCTCACCCCACGTTATTACCAATTAAACGTGATCTCCTCCTTTTTGCCCCTGGTACCGGGGCGTGGGGCTTAAGTCAACTGGACCCCCTAAAATGAGGTCAAAAGTTCAAATTTTCTCTTTTTTTTTCCTGAATACTTGCAGCAAAGTTGTAAGTCTTAAGTCAGAGAATTAAGCACACAAATAGTAGGCTAGTGTTGTTTTCTTAGCCCAAGACCAATATATCCAGACCCAGAGGTCATCATCTATGTGTATTATGTCCTTCATTGGCCAGTTCTTTGACTTAGTGTTGCAGAATCCCCCCTTTTTGATCCAAGGATCAAATATTATTGTTAAATATTATTTTTGCACAATTTCTATGTGCATTATTTATCCAGGTTAAATTCTTACTGAGATAAAATATGTATTTTTCAAGATCGACCACAGATTTCTAAGAGCAGTTATTGTCTACTGTAGTGAAGTGCAGAAGATAGTGATAAGGGTTTCATTTCAATTCAGTGACCATGAGAACTTTTACCATGTGAACATGTAGTTGAAGATTTGACATTTTGGAGGATTAATTATAAATAAAATTTCTTCACAGTTAAACTTGTTCCTTTAAATTGGCCGCATTTTCCATCCAATCTACCAGTCTTCAACGGGAAATGTTAAGGTTATTTTGTTAATAACATACAAGGATGTATAGAAGGACTACATTCCTTATACTACCTATAAACTACAAGGCATAATCTCTAGATTTTGCCTTCAGTTAATGACTGATCCATATGAAAAACTAACCAGAGAATGGCAACAACTTAACTTGGTCATACTTTAAGCTTTTCCAATAATTTCTAAGAGAACACAGACTGAGGACAGTCGTATTGCTATAATCCTGACCACTGTTATTAAAGTTGCTATTTTAAGGTTGTTGCTCATGCTCACAGCACTCCAGCTGAGACCAGTATATTGGTGCTGTTAAAATTTATTCTGACATAAACCTGATTAGCATGCTGTGGACTAACAGTATGAAGCATCTGAGACTATCTGAAAAAAATATGTCAATAGAGTTGCCGATTTAACCAAGGCAAATTTCTGACATTTTGAAACAATTCCAAATTAAATTAAATCAAAAACAGATTAAATCAATGAATGAACCACGCAAAATGAATTGAAGGCATTTTTAACTCTATTCTTGGCAGTGATTGTTTCCATGCTTGACACCATTGCAACGCAACAAAGCAGCTGTTACAAATAGTTGAAATGACAAAAGGTTTTGATGAGTGACAGGGTGGGAGTCGTAGAAAATTTCAAGGTTTTACGAGGCTTCATCTGGTCATCAAAAAACCCAAAGGGCACACAGCAAGAGGGAGAACACCACAAAAAGCAATAGAAAACGAAGAAAATTTATACACACACAGGATAATCGGGGAATAGGCAACAGGCGGAAACACAGCTGAAACTAACACAGATCAGGGCTCTAGAGTGCGACCAATTGGGTCGCAAATGCGTGATTGTGTTTACGTCTTTTTTGCGCTGATTCTGAGCTGCAGGTTTTGTCGCTCTCCAACCAAAATTCGCAGAGCCAGCAGCAAAAGAAGAAACAAACTACGCTTCACATTTGATCAATGTCGTCATGAATTCCCTCTGACTTTTGCTGTTTTGCTTCCACCACGATAAAAATCACACTTCCTGCACAGCTCTCTCTCTCTGTGTGTACTTCAGTTTCCCGTCTCAAATCTCTGTTTTCTGCATTATTCATTCGCTTGTTACCCACCAGTCTACCGTTGTTTAC